AAACTTTTAATGTACGTTAACAATGTGAGACGTGGCTCCTCGATCGACCATCATAAGCCTCTCTGTTATCAGCCCCGAACATTCCAGTCATTTTACTTTGAATGCAAAACTATGATCTTCAGAATCTGCTACATGTTTTAACATTCGTCTTTTTTTGTAGTCTACAATTATTGCTTTAAGTGTGGAACTGTTTGCAGTAACTACAACCAATGCTTCTCCTAGACTCAGGTCTTCACTCTTCGCATAGCATTCACCAGTGCCAAAATGACCTTTCTTTCCACAGTTGTAACATGTTGATCTCTAACCTTGTCTCTGTTTTTATTTCTCTGCCAGTTTACACATCTTCATTACGTTGTCTTCTGAGTTTACAGGCTTTTCTGTATCTCGTAGCTCCTTAGCTTTGCTTTGAACTCGCTGAATATGATTTTCTTTTTTCGCTCTGGGAAATGTGATGGAAAATGGCTTGAAACTTTTCAAGGCAATCCTTTTAGTAACCGAATTGGCCAACATCAACAACCCATCGCTCAAAGTCCTCTCAGCATTTCTTGAAAGCTGTGATGCATCTCTGCTCGTATGAATATAGTCTGTCCCACGCCTCTCGGCTCTCAGTCATGCTGAAGCGATGTTAGTCTCCGTAGTAACAGGCTAATAACATCGAGTCTTGGCCTTTACCAAGTAGTGCTCTCTTAGTATCTTAAGCGCTTCCTCTTCCATTGTCTGTAGCTTCTCTATCACAAGTGAGATGCTTCAATCCGTCCAAGACTTGAATAGGCTCAGCATAACTTCTCGTTCTTGAAGCTTCGTGAGAACATTATCTTCCTCTGCTCACCCACCCACCTTGGCTCGTTCAAATGGCCTCCTTCAGGCCCGAGCAAGCCGCAGGTGTCCCAAGAATTTAGTTTCCCACAGTTCATAATTTCTTTTCGTCCCCGTCGAAGCACAATCGGATTCCATCGGCCTCCTCCATCCCTTCTGGGCCCATAACCTGTTGATCGCAGCATTATGAGGGCGGGATAACCGTGGTAACAAAGAATCTAACTGACGGAGGAAAACACAACACAAACAACTCATCAGTCTCCATTGAACCGGCTTCAATCTCACGCAGTGGAGCGCACCGCGTCATTTATTGGGTACAGACATACACTTTTCCGGGTTTGACCCTTTCAGGTGTAAAGCAACACACACCACATATATAATAATACACAGATACCTAACAAGGCAACACTCTGGATGTTGTAGGACTGTCTTGCTGACGACGTCCTGCAACATCGCGTGGCGATCGGGGCGGTGCCAATGGAGTGGCAGACTGGGGTTGGTGGTCCCGTCTCTGGCCCTCCTCTACAAGAAGGGGGGGACCCGAGGGTGTGTTTCAATTATCTGTTGGGATCACACTCCCTCAGCCTCCCCGGATAAGGTCCCTACTCCAAGGTACTCGGGAGAGGAGGCTATCGGCCGAGGTCCGAATCTCGATCCAGGAGAGCAGTTGTGGTTTCGTCCCGGCGCGAACACTGGACCAGGCTCTATACTCTCCCTACGGATACTGAGGGTTCATGGAGTTCGCCCACCTGTACACATGTGCCTTTGTGGATTTTGGAGAAGGCGTTCGACTGTGTCCCCGGTTTTCCCGTTGGGTGGTTTCCCCGAGTACGGGTCGGAGGTCCTCAGCTGAGGGCCATCCGATCCCTGTATGGACCGAGCCAGAGCTGTGTTCGCATTGCCGGCAGTAAGTCAGACCTGTTCCCGGGGGGGGTGAAATGTTGGCCTCCACAGGCTGCCCTTTGTCACCGTTCTGTTCACTGTATTTATGGACAGAATTTCTAGGCGCAGCCAGAAGGGTCCGAGGGGTCAGGTTCGAGACCACAGATTTCCATCATCTGCTGTTTGCGGACGATGTCCAACCGAACCCAGGATCTGCAGCATGCACTGGGGCGGTTTTGGCTAGCCGAGTGTGAAGTCGCTTGGATGAGAATCAGCACCTCCAAATCCGAGGCCATGGTGCTCGAACCGAAAAAGGTGCCTTGCCCCTACTACAGGAGGGTGGAGAGGTCCTTCCTCAAGTGGAGGAGTTTTTCAAGTATCTCGGGGTCGTGTTCACGGATGAGGGAAAAATGGAGCCGTGAAGATTAAACAGCGGGCGGACGGTGCAGCTTGCCGCAGTGATGCGGTCCCGCTGTAATCGGACCGTTGAGGGTAAAGAGGAGGGACTGAGCCGAAAGGCAAACTCTCGAATTCCCCGTGCAATCTTTGTTTCCCTCCCTCACCTATGGTCCATGAGCTTTGGGTAATGACCACAAGTAAACGAGATCGCGGATACAAAGCGGTCGAAAATGAGCATCCTCCGCAGAGTGGTCTGGGCGCTCCCTTAGAGATAAGGGTGAGGAGCTCAGTCACACGGGGAGACTGGAGTAGAGGCCGCAGCTTCCTCCCAACGTCAAAGTAAATGGAAAAGGGAGGGAGAAGGAAAAGGGGGGGGAAAAAAAGGAGAGGAACCAGTTTGAGGTGGCTCGGGCATTGCTATTCCCGGATGCCACCTGGGACGCCTCCCTGGGGAGAGGTTCCGGGCACGCCCACCGGGGAGAGGCCCCGCGAAGACCTAGGACACGCGGGAGGGACAATGTCTCTCAGCTGGCCCTGGAACGCATTGGGGTCCACCCCGCAGGAAGCTGAGGAAGTGTGTGTGGATAGGGACGTCTGGGCGTCTCTGCTTAGACTGCTGCCACACCCCCCCCCCGCGACCACGGCAACGGATAAAGCAAAAAAGAAAATGGATGGATGGATGGATGGATGCTTCCTAGAAGTGTTTTTTTACTCTTATTTTTTATGATCTCATTCTGACTGTTTTGCACGACCAAAGCAATTTCCAAGTCCTGTGACTTCTTGTTTTACTTACTTAGGGTTTAATCCCGGGACAACGGGATTCCCGGGAAACTGATCAAAACTATTTCCCGTTACCCGGGAAAATGATATGACGGACGGGAAAGGAAAGTTTTTTAAAAATCCAGTGCGCTCCTATTATAGAGCACTTTATATTGTTGTTCAAAGATCAAACATTATTTCATTTACAATCTACATGTTCTACCAGCTCAGAGGAGTGGCCCTCATAAATTGTGTTTTATGACCAACAAATATGGTCTTAATCGCGCTAAACCATGAACTTGTACTGAGGCTAGCCTCAGGGTAACTGGCACATGTGAGCCCAGAATTTTGGCTACGTCCAATTCTATAGAAAGCGCCCTTTCTTTTTTCCATCTGCTAAGGGCAGCAAACAGTTTAGGCTAACCATACATATAACACATTTTAAGATCATATAAAATAGCATTTATGTAATGGACATTGAAATTGCTCATAATAATTGGTCAATGGACTATACTCATGCTGTTACTTATACATTTTCAACTGTTACACCCGAGGAGGCATACGGTTCAGAGTTGATTTTATTTGATCACCCCTACCATGTGTGAGCTGATCCAGCCATTATGCGCCTCGGGCCGGTCACGGACCCTTACGGTTTCGCTGCTTTCATATGCAAAGTAGGGACATTAGCATGGCTACGATTTAGGCAGTTTGGAGCACAGGGCACCCTAATCAGGCGTTTTGTAAACAGCCGAAAACGGAGGTGATCCTTCCTTGCAGTTTAGGGTGCCGGAAATCTAACTTTTCATGCAGTGTTTTCTCCACTTGAGAGGATCGGTCGCAGCGGCCGAGCGTCCCAGCTATTGTAAATGTAACAGGTGAAGGCTTGTGAGGATACAATTGTATTAATCTCCATGTAAACTAATGGTCTGGCATGACTTTGGTCATTTGTTGTAATTGGGTGTGGGCCCGCGACAAGCTTCTTTCGCTTCTGCATATCCTTTGACTTTTCTTTGAACTTATGTGCAGCCATGTTTGACGGGGGGAATAGTGTTTCATCTCATATGGTGCATTACAGACAGCACAAAACGCTCAAAACACTGAAAGCCACCGGTGCAATATTATTCGGCCCCCTTGCGCTAATACTTTGTAGCGCCACACCTTTTGCTGCAATTACAGCTGCAAGTCGCTTGGGTATGTCTCTATCAGTTTTGCACATCGAGAGACTGGAATTTCTTGCCCATTCTTCCTTGCAAAACAGCTCGAGCTCAGTGAGGTTGGATGGAGAGCGTTTGTGAACAGCAGACTTCAGCTCTTTCCACAGATGTCTCGATTGGATTCAGGTCTGGACTTGACTTGGCCTGCTTTAACACCTGGATACGTCTATTTGTGATACCATTCCATTGTAGATTTTGGCTTTATGTTTTGGATCATTGTCCTGTTGGAAGATAAATCTGCCGTCCCAGTCTCAGGTCTTTTGCAGACTCCAACAGGTTTTCTTCCAGAATGGTCCTGTATTTGGCTCCATCCATCTTCCCATCAATTTTAGCCATCTTCCCTGTCCCTGCTGAAGAAAAGCAGGCCCAAACCATGATGCTGCCACCACCATGTTTGACAGTGGGGATGGTGTGTTCAGGGTGATGAGCTGTGTTGCTTTTTACGCCAAACATATCGTTTTTGCATTGTGGCCAAAAGTTTGATTTTGGTTTCATCTGACCAGAGCACCTTCTTCCACATGTTTGGTGTGTCTCCCAGGTGGCTTGTGGCAAACTTTAAACGAGACTTTTATGGATTTGATGTCAAAAATCCCTTTGAATGACGTGTTCGAGTTGATGCAGAAGTTATGACAACAGATCTCCAAGTTTTAATCATCTGTATTTAATTTTCCTTACAATCAGATACAGAAATTCCAACAAAAGAGCAGCTCCTAAAAACTAATCCATGTCCTCTCTCGCCTGTGCTCACTCTCCGACACCAGCCTCAAGCCAGAGCATAAAAGAACAGGATGGAGGGGCGTGTCCTATCAGCATGTTCCGGGCTCCCCGTGATCCGCTTCCAACATCTGGTCTCTCGTCCCCAGTCCGCTCCTAAAAAGGATTGGCTTTTCTAGGCTTTAAGACTCCAGGCAGCTGTCACTTGGTTCTGACATGCAATTCTCCTTCTCCATATTAGTAGCAAACAGTGCCCCCCCTCATCAGAGGCGCCTGTCTGGGGACATAAGTAAACGCAGCTGCGCGTGGGGGTGTGCAATAGGTCAATATTGCCTCACATGGTTTTAGACTGTCAGGCCTTTGTCCATGGTGCTTCTCTGAATTCCATTAAAAAAAAAAAAAATTTCCCAGGCTTAGTATTGCACAATGACATCCTACTGTAACATCATTAGTTATGACAACATTTTAATTCTACAACAGTATCTTTGAAGAAATGGCTTTCTTCTTGCCACTCTTCATAAGGCAGATTTGTGCAGTGCACGACGCATTGTTGTCCTATGGACAGACTCTCCCACCTCAGCTGTAGTTATCTGCAGTTCATCCAGAGTGATCATGGGCCTCTTGGCTGCATCTCTGATCAGTCTTCTCCTTGTTTGAGATGAAAGTTTGGAGGGACGGCCGGGTCTTGGTAGATTTGCAGTGGTCTGATACTCCTTCCATTTCAATATAATTGCTTGCACAGTGCTCCTTGAGATGTTTAAAGCTTGGGAAATCTTTTTGTATCCAAATCCGGCTTTAAACTTCTCCACAACAGTATCTCGGACCTGCCTGGAGTGTTCCTTTGTCTTCATGGTTCTCTCTGCGCTTTAAACAGAACCCTGAGACTATCAAAGAGCAGGTGCATTTATACGGAGACTTGATTACACACAGGTGCATTCTATTTATCATCATCAGTCATTTAGGACAACATTGGATCATTCAAAGATCCTCACTGAACTTCTGGAGTGAGTTTGCTGCACTGAAAGTAAAGGGGCCGAATAATATTGCACGCCCCACTTTTCAGTTTTTTATTTGTTAAAAAAGTTTAAATTATCCAATAAATTTCTTTCCACTTCACGATTGTGTCCCACTTGTTGTTGATTCATGACAAAAAAATTAAAATTTTATATCTTTATGTTTTAAGCCTGAAATGGTGGCGAAATGTTGAAAGGTTCAAGGGGGCCGAATACTTTCGCAAGGAACTGTATGTGTTGGTGCTGTACTTGCATTTTTCTGTGGCGGGTAGGCAAAAGGGCCACCCAGGAAACGAGTTCCCGTTATATGGTTCGGGCCACGAGGGACCACATGGTTTTTGTATGGTGGCGTTGGAGGGGGGGGTATTTTACTAGTTAAAGGGTTTAATATTACTTGGTTGTTGGTTTTAGGCTTTAGTATTAAATGGTAGATGGGTATTTTTGATGGGTTATGGGTTTGGGTTTTGTAAAATGGATGTTTTAAAGTTGTTTGATTAAAGCTAAGCATTTTTTAACACCCCTGCTTTTACAACTTTTACAAGCAGTCGGCACAGATAAAAGGGCCTGGGAAACATCAGTTGGGGCTGCTGCTGGAGAGGCAAAGACACTCCATTTGCACTTACTGCACTTTATTGCTGTTTGCACCTTTTGTTGGTATTTTATTGCAAAGCCAAGAAAAATAAGTAAAAATTTGTGGACCACGGCGAACTCTTTGTTTTTGATTTGTTTTAACTGCACTCCAACCCGGTCACGGCACGACTGCCTCACAGGCCGAACTTCCATGTTCCCATGGTCTCATTTTACCAAGCAAATTTCTTCCACATGAAGGATGGTGTCCCATTTGGTTTCAATCCTTAACTGTGGGTTTCATCACTCTTGGTGGGATTCCGATAACCTTTTATAGTGACCAATATAATTGGAACTAAGCAGAGATTAGATTACACTTAGATGATCGATCAGTCTCCTAAACACTTCAAGGACAAGTGACCTCAAGAAAAAAATAATTTTGTACATTGATTTTTGCTTAAAAAATAAATAAAAATTGATAAGGGGGTAAATGGAGGTATTGCATAAAAAAAAAGGGTTAGATTAAAAACTGGAAGGTAAAATGCCGGGAATAATTTAATTTTATGGATAAAAAGAGCTGTTGTGTTCCAATTTAAAACAGAGGTTATAATAAATTAATATGTTTTAATATCATTTTATAAAAATAGTAATTAAAACAAAGGATTAAAAAAAGGAATTAAATAATATCGATGGCAGTCCATGTGGGTCTGGTCCCTCTCGCCCGGGGGGCAAATGAGGAAGGGCCAGCACTCCCACGGAGTCCCAGGTCCCGCGCACGCAGCGCTGGCGCCGCAATGCCTGCACAGCAGGCACACCACTCGGGCCAGTCACGCCAGGGCTCCAAGGGTAAACCTCCGTCGAGCCACAAAGAGTTTCGTACCCCGGCTTTACATCCACGGCGTTGACTACGCTGGGAGCTAGTGTACGCACCTGGCAGGGCAGGGTGCCGCGTTAACAAGGTCCCGTTGCCACTAAGGTGTAGGTCGGCTTTGTGTGGTTGCGGCGGTGGTGTGGGGGGTCCACCAGTGTGTGGGCAGCCATTGGGTGCTGGCCCGAGTTGCGTGTTGGTCCCTCTCACGGGCCTCACCCTCCGCCGTGCGTTTAGTACGCCGCACGCTTCCGTTGGGTTGCCCACGCGAACGTGAGCGTCTCTCGGGGCCTCGGATTCTTTGCCTGGCTGTTTGGGTGGCGGAGGGGTTGTTTCGGGCTGTTTGGTTCTTCTTCTGATCTTCTGTTGTTTATTGGGACATCGATGTGGCCATCCCAACTTACCAATGTGCATTTACCGCCATCTTACTGTATTCGGAAGCTGATATGGAACAGGAGATGCACACTAATACCAATTGCTGGCACTCCAATTCAGTCACCATGAGGCCTGTTAGTCGTGTATGATATTTAAAAATGAGCACTGCGTTGCACCTTGTTTTTGTAGCGGGTATGTTGATTAGTAAGATTGCACCTCGAGCGTGTAATTGAGTGTGTTCAATTGTTTCTGTGAAATAAACCCATGCCGCTTTATGTGCCTCTATAATGAGCGCTACATTGGGATTACCACATGGTTTCAACAGTTTGCTCTGGCTCTTGACAGTAGTCACAAAAGTCCAGTTTTAGAGGTTGTTTGTCCTATCCGGAAATTAACGTTGAACTGTTCTAGACGTGCTGTGACCGTCAGATGCTCAAGACGCGCAGGGGTGATGGCGCTCTCTTCCTGTTGTGCTCCGGCCCCGGGGATGGTTATAGGGACCCACAATCCGCTAGGTATACCATAATAGATTGACCGCCCCCAGTATCACATGATGTCCCAATATTTCTCCATGCTCCTGACCCGTCTACAACATGCTCTCGGTATTACAGGGTTTACGGATGATTTACTCAAGGCCTCACATCTATTAAATACGGAAGGGGATTTCAAAGCATTCTGTTAGACTGCATATTCGGAACCACTTACATTACCCTCGACTCCAACATGGGCAGGAACCCAAAGAAAATGATACTCCAACAGTCTTACCTATACAAGGAAGGCAAGCATAGAGAATGTTACAATTAGAAGGAGTATCTAGTCTAACAGTCAGATGTTCCATATTTAATGCTTTTGTAGAGCAGACATAACTATCACATATAGCAGATAACAATTACTTGAGACGCTGCAAAGTTGTGTTCAGCCCTATTCCAAAGCTAGGTTTATGGCTGTTCAAGGTCTTCCCCCCCCCCACCCCTCGTAAACACAGAGTGATTATTAGTTAGTCTTCTCTTCAACTGCTGTGTCATAGCTCTGGTACAAAGAAGGACACTGACCCAGTGACGCCCACTCACAGGATTTCTTTGGTTATCCATTCAGTAAAAACAAACATCCAATGCCCAGAGATGTGCATCACATTCAGTTCTTGTACAAGAAATTGGCGAGCGGCCGTTTTGTGTTCCTCGTTGAGTTTTTATGCTCTCGGGAGACTCATATCAGTTCAACTGGTGCTAGATACGTTGATACTAATTTCCGCTCTTTGAGACCCAGCAAGTTGAGCTGTTGGCCTCTGCCTATCCAACCAAAACTATAGCGCGTCTTTCTCTTACTTTTCATGTTGCCAAACATTCTTTGAAGGGACACCTTTTCCGGGGGGTGCAGACCCAGGTTTGCCCTTCTTATATTCAGCCCAAGATGAACAACATGAGTTGCAATCTTCCTAATTCGCATGGCATTTCATACCAAGTCGGGACCGGCATTGCAGAAATTGAGAGATGTTTTAAATAGCTCTGCCATGCTGACCCGTTAGCGGCTGACGCTTGTGCGCCACATGCAAGAGTTGTGTGTGTGTAAGGAGATTGTCTTAGGAGCACGAGTAAATAAGGTTTCTGGCCTAAACACCCATAGTCTCGGACGAGTAGGAACGCATCACTGGGGCCCAATATATATTGTTATAACATTGATTGGACTACTGCAGACCCAGTCAGGTCTGGACAGATTTTAAGACAACGCAATCGTACAGAGATTTTATTTAGTTAGCTTTTTTATCATGGTATTTTGATACGTTTTCAATATGAGGGACGCCATTGTGAGGTTGTGCATCAAAAAGGTTACACCTAAATAACGTAGGGTTTCACTTCACTTGTTCAAGCGCTTAGTCCATATAAGTTTCAGGGAAATGCTGTGTGTACGGGAGGCTGCAGAAACAAAGGCAACTTAGGGTCCTTTGGGCAACGGAGAAGATAAGAATAAGAGATATGTGTGGCTTTTAATTTGTAGTTCACGCTAGGGGTGAGGAGAATGGACATGTGGCTACATTGGGGCGTTGTCGTATGGATTAGTAACACTCAGATTGTGCAAAGGGAGGAAATGTGCAAACTTGTTACATGCAGGATATATATGTACAATAAAGTGACAATAATTATGTACAACAAATGTGACAAGTGTCAATTGGAAACAGTGTCAATAGTAGTGCAGGTTTTCACACAGTGATCATTTAAAGTGACTTATTGTACAGTCTGACAGCGGTGGGGATAAAGGCCCTGCGGTAGCGCTCCTTCCTACACTGAGGGTGCCTCAGTCTTCCACTGAAGGAGCTCCTCAGCTCCTCTACAGTCCTGTGCAGTGGGTGGGAGGTATTGTTCATGATGGAGGTGGCTTTGGCTAGCACCCTCCTGTCCCTCACCTCCTCCACAGAGTCCAGGGAGCAGCCCAGAGTGGAGCTGGCCCTCCTGACCAGCTTGTTCAGTCTGTTTCTGTCCCGCTCTGTGCTGCCCGGGGCCCAGCACACGGCAGCGTAGTAAATGGCAGAAGCTACCACCAGAGTCATAAAAAGTCCTGAGCAGAGGCTCTGCTCACTGCCGAAGGACCTCAGCCTCCTCAGAAGGTAGAGGGACTTTGGCCCTCTTGTGCAGGGCGTTATGTGATTATGGGACCCAGTCCAGTTTATTGTTAATGTGAACACCCAGGTACTTGAAAGCTGTACCACCAGCTCAATGTCCTACCCCTGGATGTTCAGCAGCCGTCGTGGGAAAGTGGTTTTCTCTTGAAGTCGGTTGGACCATCTCCTTGGTTCTTACTGGTGTTCAAGCACAAGTGGTTGCGCTCACACCAGTCAACAAAGTCCTTGATAAATTCGACCGATATTCCAGGTTCGTTCCCCTCAGACACACCAGCCCACGATGGCGGAGTGTCGTCGGAGAACTTCTGCAGGTGACAGCTGTGTGTGTCGTGTGTGAGGTCTGAGGTGTAGATGGTGCAGAGAAACGGTGAGAGGACAGTGCCTTCTGAGGGGCCCCAGTGCTGCAGACGACCACCTCAGACTCACAGCTGCGCAGCCGCACGACTTACTGTGGTCGGTCTGAGAGGTAGTTGATGGTCCATGCAGTGAGGCTACTGTCCACTCCCGCGTCCTCCATCTTCCCCCGCAGCAGTGCATGTAGCTGAGGACCCCAGAGAGCTGGTCTGCACAGGTCCTCAGCAGCCTGGGACTGATCCCGTCCGGTCCTGCGGATTTCCTCAGCTTCAGGCGCTGGAGCTGACTCCTCACCTGGTCCGGTGTGATGGAGAGGGGGGGGGACTGGGGTGTACTGTCCGAGGTGGGGGCTGGGGATGCGGGGGCAGGAGGGCCCGGGGCAGCCGGAGGCAGTGTCCACTGGGCTGGGGACGTGTGAAGAGGTGGGGGCGGGAGGGGGGGGGGCAGATGGAGAGGGGGGAGAATCAAACCGGTTGAAGTGCTGGTTAACTTCGTCCGCCCGGTGCTGGTCTCCATCTGCTGTTCCTCTGGCACTCTGTCCAAAGCCGGAGATGTTCTTTAGGCCTCTCCACACGTCGCGGGCGTTTCCCTGGGCCAGCTTCTGCTCCAGCTTTTTCCCGTAGTCCTTCTTGGCCCTCCTGATCCTCCACTGGAGCTCGTGCTGGATCCTCTTCTGCTCCTCCCTGTCCCCTGAGATGAAAGCCCTTTTCTTGAGGTTCAGGAGGGCTTTAAGCTCAGGGGTCACCCATGGGTGGTTGTTAGAAAAGCACCGCACCTTCTTAGTTCTTCTTAGACAACTTAAATCCCCAGTCTAGTGTCCACTTCTCCACTTGCTGTATTGCTCTTTGTAGCTTCTTTACAATAAATGCAAGGTTTCTCCCCCTAACCCACAATGCACCATCATCCGCATACAAACTTCGCCCAACAGAACGATCGACACCCTCAAAAATATCATTAACCATAACATTAAACAGGATTGGGCTACACACGCTTCCCTGAGGAATACCATTTTCAACATTATAAACATCGGAAAGCGTGGCTCCAACCCTGACTTGAATCTTTCTATCAAACAGGAAACTTTTAACCCAATTCAGTAACTTACCCCCAATACCAACTTTGCACAACTTAATGAGCAGGCCTTCTTTCCACACCATATCATACGCCTTCTCGACATCAAAAAACACAGCGCTAACCTTTTCTTTATTTGTCTTTGCTTTTTGAATATCTGATTCCAGGCACAGTACAGAGTCCATGGTATTCCTACCTTTACGAAAGCCGCTTTGGTGAGTGGAAAGCAAAATCTGGGTTTCTAAAATAAAGTTTAATTTTTCTGTTACCATGCGCTCCATAGTCTTTCCCAGCTGTGATGTTAATGCAATAGGCCTGTAGCTTGACGGGACAAAAGGTGATTTTCCCGGCTTCAACACTGGGACTATAACAGACTGTTTCCAAGACATAGGAATGCTCCCAGTGTCCCAGACAAGATTGAACAAACTCAGTACTAATTCAAGTGTCTCCTCAGTCAATTGAAATAGCATGTTATAACATATAACATGGACTCCCCCCTGGACTGCTCTCCCCCCTGGACTGCCACCTTAACGTGGTGGGGGAGTTTGAGTACTCGGATGATCCTGGGAGCTATGCTGTCTGGGGCTTCATGCCCCTGGTCGGGTCTCCCATGGCAGACAGGTCTCAGGTGACGAGTCAGACAAAGAGCGGTCCGAAGACACCATGGACAGCACTAAAAGAAAAACAGTGACGTCGCCCGGCATGGCGCAGCCGGGGCCCCACCCTGGAGCCAGGCCTGGGGTCGGGGCTCGTATGCGAGCGCCTGGAGGCCGGGCCTTAGCCCACGGGGCCCGGCCGGGCTCAGCCCGAAAGGACGACGTGGGCAGTCCCTCCTGTGGGCCCACCACCTGCAGAGGGGTCCGTGGTGGCAAAACGGTGCTGAGAGGACTGGGCAGCAGCCGAAGGCGGAGACCTCGGCGACCCAGTCCGCACACACAACATCTG